TTATAGAACATTGAGAAAACTTAAAATTAGAAATTTTTTCACTAGCTCACCCTCGGGAAGTAACAATAATAAGTGTAATTAACGTTTGTCTTGTAAATGGTACTTCTTTGTTAACTTTGTAGCAAAACATTATTGTTTCTACAATACATTAATGAAAAATTACTATAGGTTATGTAACAATTGGTTTTCAACTGATACTATTTTACGTTACGCTTCCTCCTCCTGAAAGTGTAATAATAACTTTTGAAAGAATAGTAAAAATTCCTCTAAAGTTAAACGAGAGAGAATGGCTTCGCCCCTGAAGCACAATCAAACAAATCCAGTTTCTGGGACACATAAAAATTGATTTCCTATCTAACTAATACCTTTGACAGACTAGTTTAGATACAACACATTGTATGTGAACGTTTAATTTTTCTGTATCAAATTATTTCAGAAAATGCAATTTTTGAGATCCGTATAAAATATGCATCTTTTCGAACTTTATCTGTTTTTCTAAAAAAGTTACGGCATCAATTGCATGGATGTAATAGCTATTTATGCTAATTTCGAAAAGAGAGGCGTAGCATAACAAATGTGGACACTGCAGGGTCGAAGGTCTTGTGCTCCAAGAATTTGGGTTATGCCATGCCATTTTTGGTAAAGGTAACTAACAATGTTACTTTTTGTGCCACATTTTATAGAATTATTAAAAACAACAAACTTGAAAAATGTATATATCAGTCAATTTGTGTGTAAATAAACTTCACTCTAATTGCGTTCTAACCCGTTTTACGACTAATTTTTTTTTACTTAACGTTAAAATGTTGAAGCTGTAAGACCAGAATCAAAGTACTTTCCTATTTTTTAAAAATTATTATCTAATTTTGTAAGTATGTTTTATTCAAAATTGTAAACATTAACAAAATTTAAAACAAATTCCGCTTCTTTAAAAAATTATACAATTAGATTTTGCCATTTTTCTTTTTTTTCCAAAAAACTGGATATCTAGCGTCCATACTCATAAATTTGAAGAACATTTATTTATTCAGCTATTTTGTGACGTTACGTGATCAGTTTTTAGGGTGGGGGCATGTACTGGTAAATTTTGATTAACGTTGCTCCCAATATGCTTAAAATGTTTGTAAAATTTCGCAGCATTCAATTTTGCAAGTTCAAAGTTAAACTGTAAGATGTCGTTGAAAAATTTTGATTTTTTCCTAAAAATCTTAATCCCTAGAGTAAAAATTCAACATAAACATAAATCGTATATACGGTGACTATGTTATTTTATAAAATTTGTAGTAATGTAAATTTTGGAGATGACGTCATCTTATTCTTCGTGAAGCGTAGCACTTTACCATCTACACGATGTTTCTAATATACATATAAAATTTGTCAACAATTGGTCTTGTAGTTTCGGAGATTATCTATCTAACAAAAATGCGGAGAGACGGCAGACAGACAGCCAGAGATCGGAAACCTATTTTTTCGTACTCGTGCAATACGTCTTAGCTTACGGTCAGAAAGTAACAGGAAAGTCACCTAAATCTTACTTTCGCTAAAAATGTACCTATTTATTAAAAATTTCTTCTTTTATAAACAAATAATATACGATACAATAGCGTGAAAGAGAAAAATTTTACAAAATACTTTATACAAAGTACAAGAGCTTTGATGTTCGAGCATAAAAGACATTCTCTATTAAGGCTGTCAACATTTTTCACCAAAGTGAAAAAGTAAATGTTCTTGAGGGGACAGAAGCGTTAGGCCGACAGTTAATTTAAATATTAGCCAGTGAAGCAGTGTGCTGATAACCGTAATGACTACAGTATTAAAGTAAATGTGAAGATTACTTTTATGTCTTCATCAATCTTCACTAACTGTTTGCTGCTTTGTTGCAAAACATGACTACGGTGAAATATAAATAATGCAATTATTTCTGAACATTCTGTTTTGTTAATAAATCATCGAGTGTCTATTATTCGATGCCTAAATCGTGATTTATCACGACTACAACAAATTTAAACGTGAAATCAAACGCCCCTGTTTGCAGCTGTTAGGCTGATGAAGGTATGTGTGATCAAAAGTGAAAACTAAAAGAGACGCCTCTGCAAAATGTTAAATATCTGGTTGCGTTAGTACCCACCCTGATAATCAAACACCTTGAGAGATTTCTTAATTTTCTGTGAATTTCTACTTAAATGCGTAATAACTGATTTTGAAAGGTCGCATTATTATGGTAAGTTTCGTTTTCGTTATGTCAGCATCAAAACAAAACCTACCTCTAGACACAAAATGTTTAAAAGGTATATTCATTCTGAGTATAGTACAATAAACCAACACAGTACGCTTACATATTTAACTCTACGTGAGACCACAAAATTAAAAAGGATTCTTTATTTTGTCAAGCTGACGCGAACCGGTAATGCAAAGGATTACTTATAGTCACGCACTTGTGATCTTGATCCTTTCAAAGTTCAGATCTAACACTACCGGGCTTGTGGCTACTCGTGAAATTAAAGAGTAGTTGCTAAGGGTTGAACCTGCAGAAGAACTACTTAATTTATTTATAGATGCAATAAAGAATGTATTTTACTGTTAAAAATATGTATTATGTAACTTTCCCTAAACTAAATTTTAAATTTTAGTCACAGTTAATTACATAAAAAATGACAAAAAATAAGTTAAACCTACTTTTTGTTCTTAATTAAAATCGTTCAAAAAATAGACATTTTAATGGCATTTAACAAATAATGGAAAAAGAAACTGAAAAACTCTTGGGATACAGAAGCTTTAAAACAAACTTTTTAAAGCTATTATATCGTTGAAGTTTCTTAGTGAAATTTTAAAGATTGTTATGTGGCAACTGATGCTGTTACTTAAAATGTTATCTGCGTGTCAAATCACTTTTTAAATACAACAATGTAGAAGTATTAATTAAGTTTTTAACATTAAAATTTAGTGTAAAGATACAATAATGTATGTATTAAGTTTTGTCCAAATTTCATGGGTTACATTACCGTGGTTAGGGGAACGGAATTTTTTAATTATGTGTGAATTAACATAAGGTGCTTTTAAAAGAATGTTAAACCTGCTCTGATGTTAAAATTTAATTATTATAAAGCGTTTATAAACTGGTTTTTGTATGTATGAGTTTACTGCAGCAAATAAGGAGGCAATAAATTAATATTTCAAAAATTAAAAAGTATATTTGTTTCAAAATTTCTAAAAAAAGTCCCAAGGAGGTCAAATTTGATGTAATGTACCAAAATTGCTTGTGAGGTATGTTGGAAATGCGTTATATTTCCTTTTTTCCAGAGACTTCTTAGATAAATTTAATTAACGATCTTAGAAACATTTTTTGTAAAATTGTAAAATATTTATTACAGCTACTTATTTATTATTCTGATTTGTCTACGAATCTAGAGAAGGATACTCGAACATTAAAATTTTCAACTTGGTGTAGTGTCAAGTCGGCCTAGGAGATTTGCAAAATAAAATGAACCTACAAGTAAATTTGCAAAATAAAATCAAAATAAATTAAAGTAGACTTGGAAAAGTTCAATATTTCCTAATTATATTATGAAATGAATAGGTATATCTTTTACACTAGCTTAACTAAATTAAACCCGTTAATTTCAGTGAAAAGACAAATATACATGTTTTACAAAATTCGACTAAGTTTCTGGTAAAATAATTGGGATGGTGGGGGAACATTCACGGTTTTCCAATCCACGTGTAAAAGCCCCATATATCAATATCAATTTACCACGCGGTGTAATCACACAGTAAAATTTTGTTAATGCGACAACGCTGGGATCGAGACTGTGATGGATTGTGGAGTTAGATGGATTATTGAACGTGTAAAAAATGCGTATTAAAAATTGACTATACAGGGTCGTGAATTTTTCATTTTATATTATTAAGATTTTGTTAACGGTAAAAGATACAAATGTGGTTGATGTACCATTATTTAAATAATTTTAGTAGTTTTAAAATTTATCAAAAAACAAATTTAGGATTTTTCATTTTTGAATAAATAGAAGTTGTGCACGCACAAGGGTACAGTAGCGGGAAAAAAACTTTTTTTGCATGAAATTCAACACAAACCAGTTATTTGAAACAATTAATTTTAAAGGATCGGACTTGGCGTTTTTAAAATTCAAGATAGGTTCCACTATGAAAAAAAAAAAGGGATGACAGGGGAGGTCAAGTAATACTGCATTTGAAAGCTCTTTTAATTTTGAATATGATAATGTATCATAATGTCTTGATAGGTATGTCTTATTATTAGTCCATTACAACTTTTAAAGGCAAACATATTTTTGCACGACACTGTTAAATATATCAGTTAATTGAAGAAATACACATTCCAAATGACACTATTAGGTTTCGGTTTTAGATTTTAAGATGATTTTCAGTCATCTTGAAATTAAAAAAAAAACGCTTAAAATGTCATTCAGAACGAAAGATTTTATCAAAAATTAACACGTCTAAAATTTAAAAAATATCAGAAGCAGAAGTTATAAATCACATATTTCAAACATCTCATAACGTGTTACTATGAAGATTAAAAATATATATATATATATTTTTTATCAAAATGGCGCTCATCGCCATCTTAAAATTTTTAAACGTCAAATGTCACTTCGAACATTTTTTTTTTGTATGTACTTAACATCTACGAGTTTTCATGCAAAAATTTGGAAAACTATAGTATGAATGAATTTTAGTGTATTAGTAATGATTAAATAACTTACAATAAAAATCATATCAATTTTAGAAAATCATATACTTGTTAAATGGTCAAATGTGTGAGAACTAAAGAAAAACTCGTACCTGAACTTGGTAACCATGTTTCCCAACTCTGAATAAGAACAATATAGTGAATGAAGTTAAAAAGTTTTCAAACACTATAAATATTTTCAAGTGCAAACATCAGTTCATGCATGCATAAAAGGCTTTAACTTTCTCAGGTATAAGTCAAACACAATGCGATAATTCTTTTTTAAATCCAGGTACTGTGTGCTCACAAGTTGGACTGTCGTAAGTCGGCCCTCCACACTCGTTTCCCCAAATAAATAATGTGCGGTAAATAAACGTAGAGAGTAGTAAAAATGTGGATCGCCGATTTGAAGATAGTGTTGGGTTTCTGTATCTGTACCGCGCTGGCGTACCATGGCTCCAAGCAAGATTACATTAAACACAGGGAAAGATTCCTGCCGAAGAGGCCAGTAACGACAACTGAAAGTGCAGTGACTAGTGCAAACGATATTTATTACGAGAGTTTAAAGTTAAGGCACCATTCGCGATTTCCGAATTTAGATAGGGTTATGATGAAGATCGATAACATGCAGACTGGCAGGAAGAAGAACGAGATACACCCCGTGCATAACAAAATTCGTCATCAGAACATTTACAGGACGACTACCACGACGACAACCACGACGGATGAAGGGCTTTTTGGGGACGACTACAGGGATTTGGAGTACGAAGATGACAATGCCAGTGATGACATGAACGAATACGACGACTGGGTAAGTCTGATAATGGGTTGTTTTTTCGGACGGGTTTGATAACAGGGGAATCTCTTGTAGTTCCATTAATTATTTATCACTAGACAGTATCTATAATTCATCTTCATTTATAATTCAATCCAATTGTTTCATTCATTCATTCAAGTGTCAGATTAGTAAAATTAATTATAGTGTTGTTTTCAAACGCACCTACCGCAGGTAGGTGAGTCTGTATTTCACAAAGCGCTAATGTTTTTGGAAAAATAACTGTGTAACAAACAAAGTAAATTTATTGTGAAGATTTATGTGAATTTTTTTAAAACCATTAGTTCTGATGAAAGTAAAACAAAGAATTTAATATTTTAGGCGTAGTAAGATGACAAATGATATTTGTTAATCTATTTTAAGCCGATTAAAGAGCGGCTTATGAGACATTATGGGATGTTGAGTGCTGTGACAACTTTTTATGAATGATGTTTTTAGTCACACGAAAAAACTGATGGAATAATTAAATAAAGGATCAAAAGATTTGTCATAGTCTAAACATGAATTATGAGTTTTTCCAATATGAGTCGTAGGATTGTCAGTTCTAAAAATGGTTCTTCTAAGTTTAGGACGTAAAAGTTGTGCATCGTAGTTATAGTATAAGAAGTATGTTGCTTTATGTGGAACAAAAATTTTGCGATTAGAACAAAGTTAGTCTGCAACTTTACAATTATGTAGTATTTTACAATTCCATGGAACTGTGGTATTAAAACTATGCGATAATTTCGTAAAGCTGAGTTTAATGAAGAACTCTTCATACGTACATCACTGAGAATTGATGACAAGGAAAAAGTAGCTGTCCTTAATTGATTTCTTTTAAATCCATCAGCGTATACCGAACAGCATATCAGGTTATGATTTATTTATTATTTTATATTTTAATTTATAAATAAATCAGAACAATAGATCCGTCGTAGGGTTCTCCTAACATAGACTGTATGCCAGTGTTTTTTTTTGTCGTCCACTTTTATGTAGACTTTTATGTTTGCATTTAAAAATCAAAAATTTTCATGAGTAAATGTAGAAACTAATTTCTTCAGTGTTTGTAATTTTTATGTTTTATCTGTAGGTTTCGAAAGTTCAGGCTAAATTTGTTCAAGTTCACTCTAATAAGTTACTGTTTTTTTTTTTCAACATATACTGACCAGGGACTCACTCATTTTAATTAACATTTATTTGGCCAAACTGAAAGATGAATTTTGATTAAAGATTTATGCTTCCGAAAACCTTAAAATGTTTGCAAGATTTTAGAGTATTCGGTTTTGCAATTTCAAAGTTAAATTGTAAAACGTTGTTATGCAATTTTGAATTTTTTCCCAAAAATCTGGATGTCTAGGGTAATAACTCGACATGGATTCATAAACTATAAGTGGAGGAGTATGTTATTTATAAATTTAAAAAACATTTACTATTGTAAAAGTTGGAGATGACGTCGCATCGTTGTTGGTGGGGATGATAAGACAAATTTTTGTTAGCGTTTTACCGTCTACAAGATAATCCTAATATACATACAAAGTTTTACAGCAGCCGGTCCGGTAGTTTCGGAAATTAGGCCCAATTCTGAATCAAAAACCCGTTAAAATTTAAAGGTTGTTAATAAACATCCAATCAGATTTACGAATTTAACTCGTTACTATGGAAATTTGCAATTTAACACCCTTTAAATTTAACAACTTTGATTAAGAATTGCCTCTATTGTCTGCTTAATAAAAATAATCGATGCACACGCGGACAGACGGGGGCTGGCGGATACGAGAGACTTATTTCTTCGTACTCTAAAGGTCATGAAACGTTGAGCAAACATGAAAGTAGCCAGTAGCTCTCTCGATGGGCCCGATTATAATATGTACTTATTATTATTTAAGACTCACCACTGATCCGGAAATGACCCGGCATTTAGGCAAAACTTTTATCACTACGGGTACTAAGATCCAGCAAAGATCTGCATTGATTAGATTTATTAAAACTTTTTCAGATCCTAGAACTACAGCATATACATACGTCTGTTATTATTAAATTAATTAAATAATTGTTTAACAACATTTTGCAATTTAACTGTTAAACTGCAAAATGGAATGCTCTGAAATATGCAAAATAATATGACTCTATACTTGTATACCAATACGCTCATGATTTTTAGAACTACTTGTACAGGATGACTCAAAAAAAATTAAATTAATAAATAAAATCAATAATAACAATAATTAATATAATAAATAAGCTATCCCAATTGGTATACGTGTCCTTGCACAAATGTTGATGACGTCGTCACAAAATTTTGTAATGGAAACAGTCACTTGAAGCAAACGCTTAACACAACATATCTTTACCTATACTTTATCGTTGCAAACATATCTTTATTTTAACTTATGGTTATTATAAAAAAATATAATTTGCAAAATTAAATCTTTTAATTTTTCGAAAAATCTGGACTTTTGTACTGTATTTCCGCGGCGAAGGAAGTTCTGTCGAAATAACCTTCGACCATTTTTTTTTACTCTGTTAGTGCTATTACATACCTAATTTTCTACGTATATAAGTTATTACAAATAATATTTCGCGAAATCAAATTTTACAATTTTTTAAAGAAGCAGGATTGTACCTCGACAGCTAGGGAAGTTCTGTCGAAATAACCTTCGACTAATTTTTTGTGGTTATGTTTATATATCTGTGGATTTTAATTAATATACTTTTATTGTGGAACTATTCTATTTTTAAGAGGGAAGTTCACCCATATTTTGGAAATCTGTGCCCATAAAGGTGGAAAAATATTGGTACTTATGTGATAGTAAAATTACTAACAACCCCAACCACGTTGGTATTATCTAGACAAAACTAAACTGTCAGTTTGTCTCGATGATGCCAACGTAGTTTTGTTTTCGGTTTTGTGGGAAATAAACGTTCGGACGCCGAGTGATCAAATAGATTTCATAAATTCTTCTGTTTTTTTTTTTTTAATTTTAAGACAAGCAATGATTTTTATTTCAATATTATGGATAACTGACTGAGTTAGTGCTAAGCATTTGATGTTATTATAATATGCTACAAATCTTTTATGTGAAAATAAATTTGAGGCAAATTATTTAGTCAATTTATTTATTGTTTAAAAATGCTAGAAAAACTGATTCTAATAGGTCAAAAGCTCAGATCGCTTTAAGTGACCTACCTTCTGTTACAGAAATATATTATGATTATTATATTTAAAACAATAGTAAATTAATCCCCACAATTTATTGGGAGAACTCACGAGGGCACATTTATATTACGTAAATATGGCTCACTAAAAACAAGAATAAATGACTTGAATAATATTTCACTGTTTCAGAACGACTGATCTGCCAAAATATCTATTTAGAAATCTCGTGCGCAATCGTGTTTTCGTATAAGAAAAAGAAATATGTTTGATGACGAAAATAGTACTAGCAGTTGTAGTAAACCGTAAATTAAAATATAATAATTTTAAATAAGTTAATTTTCTTTGCTGATGTGTGCATTCGACAAATTAATTTCTTGGTGCATTTTGGTGGAAATTAATTAGATGTCTTTTTTCCAAAATATATTAATTTATAGTTTCAAAAGCATCACTTAGTTTTTCCCAAGACTCGTCTGCATAGAATAATTTATGAGACATAAATTCTTCAACTTCAGAATTAAGTATTTATAAATTATTTTGAAAAGTCTGCCTCATAATTTTACTTGTTGACAGTGCAAAGTCAAATCATTTATGTAAATGACTAAGCCTATGAATTTTGACAACCGTGCTAAAACCAAGTACTTATAGCTTTCGTTTGAAGTCTGGCACTCTTCGAGATGTTGCAACTTCAGACGGAATTTTAAAAATAGTCGTTAATTCAATATTTAAGTGCCCTCTTTCTCAACATGTGCATCGATGTGTCAGCGTGTATGCTTTTATAATAAAGAACTAATGGTTTCCAATCAGCAAAAGCAAACATTATCTACTTGTTAATACATGTTAGTAATTATCGCAACAATAGCGTGCGAAGCAAACAAAAGGACAGAGAGAAAGAGAAACAGTGACATTTCGACAAATGCCAAGGGTTCAGGAGAAAGACGACATTCTTCCTTTTAATTAAACGATTAATTTTGTAAATAGAAAAATCAAAACTGTCATTCTTGCGGAAACGTTAATGATCGGACCGAAGAGTAAAACGGTTCTAAATCGTCAGCTGAAACAAGAACAGATTATAAATCACGGCGCTGAAAACGTGTCGCAGAGACAAATCTCTCTCCCGCAATTAGTCAAAAATTCATAAAGAGAATCCCACTTTTAAAAATCGTCTGCATTAACGCAGCAAATGCCTTGCTAACGAGTAGCTCTAATAAACGTCGGACTCAGCTCCTCTAAATCAATGGCTCATAAACTCATTTAAATTGTATCCTTTCCTGCAGCTATGCAAGTCCCATTACTCAAAAGGCGATGTTTGTTTTTTAAAAAACAGTTCTGCCTGCAGTTCATACAGAACTAATGATTTTCTCGTCCAGCCTTCTAATCTACATCACGGATGACTTAATTTATGAAAGTAAAATTTGTGACTAAGGTACACGACTTTTCGACGAATCAGACTGATAATGTTTACGTGTGTTCGTGGTAAAACAGCGAAACCGATCGTCCATGGTGGCCAAAGGCTGTAGGTCAAATCCAGTACAGATTATGATTATTATAAATAAAAGTGACCGCGCCAATTCGCTTTAATCAGTACGCCCATTAATAATTTACGAGCAAGTGTAGATAATGGCAAAGCGTCTTAATTTACTTGACTATTAATAAAAGTGCATCGTTAAAAGAATACAAGAGTCCGAATACCACCCGTCTAGTCCAGATGCATTACTACACCGTTCGTGCTGGAGCAGGGTCGTAATAGGAATTTTCTGCCTCGGCAAACACGAAGATGAAAATGTTGCAGAGGAACAAGTTGGCTGCCAAACAACAGTACTCACCAACTTTTGTTCTGGTT